CATGAATAAAGAAAAAATTAAGTTTGATAAACCAATTTATGTTGGATTTGCAATATTAGATATTTCAAAAACGATAATGTATCATTTCCATTATGATATAATGAAAAACATGTATGGAAATAAAATTAATATTGTCTATTCAGATACTGATTCATTAGTTTATGAAATTAGAACTTTTAACTTTTTCGATGACGTAAAATATAAATTACTTTCTTACAGTGGCGGCGCCAGGTAGGGCCATGGCCCTACCTGAAAATGCCTGGCCCTACCACTGACCTGACCTTAGACATAATAATATACTCATTTTCAATAAGCAGAAAAAAGTAAAAACATTAAATACAATATAAACATATATAAACAATTTACTAATGGACTGTGGCACTGCGGGTAGAGAGAGAAACTGTCAGCCAACATTGAGCAAGGAGATAGAGCTACGAGTTGGGAAAACAGTAAACAAGAAGATAAGAAATTGATTAGGGGTGTGGAATATTTTTATTATTATAATGTCTATGGTTATTAAATACCTACCTACTAGAGATGGGCAACATTTTGTGAACATCGATGTTCGATGTATCGATACATCGAAATTTGAAACATCGATTTTTTTTTACATCGATTCTCACAGTGAAAATATCGATGTTTTTGAAAATCGATGTTCATAGTAAAAACATCGATGTTCATAGGAAATCGATATTCGATGTTTTACTTATTATAAAAAATGAACAGAAAATCAAAATCTTAAAAATTCTAGAATAGTCATCATTTTATAAGAAAAAAAAATTGTATTTTAATTGTAATTTTCATATTAATATTAGTACAATAGTACATAGTACATACTACATACATTCAAAATATTAGAATATAAAATATAAATGTAGAAGTAAACAACAAATACATTTTTTTTAAAGATTAAAATATAATATAATATTCAAAATATAACTCCTTGATTCTTGAATATAAATTTATAAGAAAACAACAAATACATTTTTTAAAAGGTAATATACTATTGTACTTAAAATATAACTGGTTGAATATAAATTTATTAGAAAACAACAAATACTTTTTTTTAAAAGATTATAACATAATATTCAAAATATAACTCCTTGAATATAAATTTAAGTATAAGAAAACAACAAATACATTTTTTTAAAAGATAATATACTATTGTACTTAAAATATAACTGGTTGAATATAAATTTATTAGAAAACAACAAATACTTTTTTTTTTAAAGATTTTAACATAATATTCAAAATATAACTCCTTGAATATAAATTTAAGTATAAGAAAACAACAAATACATTTTTTTAAAAGATAATATACTATTGTACTTAAAATATAACTGGTTGAATATAAATTTATTAGAAAACAACAAATACTTTTTTTTTAAAGATTATAACATAATATTCAAAATATAACTCCTTGAATATAAATTTAAGTATAAGAAAACAACAATACATTTTTTAAAAGATAATATACTATTGTACCTACTTAAAACATAACTGGTTGAATATAAATTTATAAGAAAACAACAAATACATTTTTTTAAAAGATAATAATATACTATTGTACTTAAAACATAACTGGTTGAATAACAATTTATTAGAAAACAACAAATACTTTTTTTTTTAAAGATTAAAATATAACATAATATTCAAAATATAACTCCTTCAATATAAATGTATAAGAAAATAACAAATACATTACCTATTCATTTTAGATTCTGAGTGAAACGATGAATGTATTGATTTTACAATGATGTGTGTTTTTTTTTTTATTTTTTTTATTTTTATTTTTTTCATTTTTTATTTTTTATTTATTTTTTTTGTGTCTGTGTACACGATAAGTAGTCGAAATAATGCTTCGATTTTCGACTTCAGTATCTTGTTCGATTGGAAAGTGAATATCGTTGGTGCATTGGGGAGGTCAAAATTTAAATTTCCCAGTAGTTTTCAAGAGCGCCGGGAAAAACAAAAGAAAAATTAAGGAAAAACGGGAATTTTTACGCAAAATCGATTTTTCAGAAAATTGAATTTGGTTTTTGGTGTAACTTTAAAAAAAATGACCGTAGGTACATGCAATTTTCACTGGTTGTTTATATTTGCATCTTCTATACACGATAACATTTTCAAAATATTTTGATTTATTTTGAACAGTTTAGGGACATTTTCATTTTTAGTTTTTTTTTAGTTTTTTTTCTAGAAATATCAATAAAATTTTATTTGTTGGTTGCGAAAGCTTGAAAATTTAATAGAAGGCTCCTAATATATTGTTTCAAAGGCAGATGAAAAATATTAAAAATCCTTAGTCACAATTTTTTTTTATAAGCATTTAAAGTTCAAAAATTGACAAAATATGGAAAAATCACGAAAATTAGCAAATTATTTTGAGTTAAGAATTCGTAAAAATTTTTCTTTTTAAATCTAAGATTTGAAAATCTAATACAAGATTACTCATAAGATTGTCTACCTTTATCAATAAAAAAATCTCTACCGGAAAGTCAAATTAAATTTTTATGAGCGTTTGAAATTCAAATTTTTACAACATTGGATATTCACTCGATTTCTCATGTGGCAATTTCCTTTTTTTGTTGTAATTAAAAAACGAATTACTGTAGATACATGAAAATTTCACTGAATGTTTACATTAGCATTTCCTATACACCATAACATTTTGAAAATATTTTGACTCTTTTTGAGCCGTTTACGGACATTTTCAGTTTTCAATTTTTTTATTTTTTTTTTCTATAAATATCAATTAAGTTTTATCTGTTGGGCCAAAAAGCGTAAAAATTTAATACAAGGCTCCTGATATATTGTTACAATATCAGTTGAAAAATATTAAAAATACATAGGCACAATTTTTTTTTATAAGCATTTTAACATCGAATTTTGACAGAATTTTTCAAAATCTCGAAAATTATTAATCATCGTAATTAATAAATTATAAAATGTTCAGTTTTTATAGCTAAGGATTGAAAATTTAAAACAAGATTCCACGTAAGTAGTTAATTCTCTTACCGAAAAATCTAAAAAATATACAATCACAGTTTATTTTTATAGTCATTTTATGTTCAAATTTGGACGAAATTACATATTAAAAAACCTAGTTATTTTGTTGTGATTATATAATATTATTCGTGGGTACCTACTTGAAACATCTAAAGTGTACTATTATATATATATGATAGTATCAGGGTTTGTTGTTGGTGTATAACGTGTTATAAGTACCTAATGGATATTGTGATAATGTGATATGATTTATTTGGAATTTATTATAGGTCAATTTTTTTTAATACCATAGATATGTATATAATTTGTCTTAACCTAGACTGACATACCGTCTTCGCTCAGAATCGTTTTTCTTATACAATGATATTGTATCATTGAATTCAAATTTAATAGCATCAATTATACAGTGACCCACTTGTAACCTACTGTACAGCAGAGCGACATCCACTTACCCACCTTTTTCATAATGACCACAATGTTTTATCAATTGATTGCAAAAATAATAATTTATTCAGGTGTTTTGAAGTAAGCCGGTTTCTTTGTTTATTTAGTGTCAGCCCAGCTTTTGAAAACAATCTCTCACTAGGCACAGAAGTAGCTACTGTTGATAAGTATTTGATTGCAATTTTGGATAAAATTGGATAGACGCTTGTCATTTCTTTCCAAATTTGGAGTGGGTTGTCAGATAATCGTGCAACACTGGATTTTAAATATAAATTAAGCTCGCTTGGGAATCCTATTTCATTTGTCTGACGCAGTCCTCTGCGACCAGAAGATTGTTGTACAATTTGTTCGTGATCTTGCCACAAATCGAATGGTTTTGCCACATCAGGCCCAGGGTCTAAAAAAATATATATATATTATATATTAAACATATTATAATACAGTTTTTTTTATTATTTTGACTTGAATTTTTCATACCTAAGATGTCATCATCAGAAGAGCTCTCACTAACAAAATTGTTTTGCTTTATCTCGTCAGAAATATATTTTAGCATGTTAGATAAAGCTAATGGATCTTTGAAATAAATTTTTTTGAAACGTGGATCCAAAATTGTTGACATGCCTAAAAGGGCAACACTCTCCACTGCACAAAATCTCTGTTCACAGTTGTGCAAAATTCCTGCTTTAAGCTGAGCACCTATCTGCTGTGTGGGTTCAAATTGAATAATGTTTTTTGTCATCATGTAGATCATGGGAATAACCATACTGGTTGTCACAAATTTTTGGCCACAAAGTTGTTTGGTAGCTGCTTCTATTGGTCTTAAAATGTCGATTATTTCAGAAATATCTTTAATTTCTTTGGCTGAAATCATAGGTGGAGCTGCAATGTGTCTATGCACAATATCATTAACTATGTTGCTTAAACTAATGAAACGTTCAAGCATGTAAAAAGTACTATTCCATCTTGTAGGTACTTCTTGGAGTAATTTTTCCTCACCTTTGGTCGCTTTCCTTAATTCATCACTTGCTACAACACTCTGTTTAAACCACCTCACAATATTTTTTACATCTGAAATTAAATGTGTGAGTTCAGGGACACTTGAAATGGCATGCTGTGCAACAAGATTTAACGTGTGCGCAAAACATAATATATGGCGTTTTTTTCCATATGACAAATCAATCGCTTTCAACATATTAGCTGCTCCATCAGTTACCACAGGAATTATATTTTGTTTAGAAATGTTCCATTCTTTACACACTTCAACCAATTTGGTTGCTATGTATTCACTTGTATGCCTTGCATCTAATTCATAAACTCCTAACAAAGCAGAATTTAGTGTATATTCTTCAACAAAATGAATAGTAACACCAATGTAACTCCTGGTTTGAATATCAGTCCAAATGTCTGTTGTAAGAGTAAAATGTTGAATATTTTTGAATTTTGTCATAACAATCTCCTTCATAATATCATATTTGTCATAAATTTTGCGGGAAATGTATCTTCGACTAGGTATTTTAAAATTTGGCGATACTGTTTTCATTAAGTACCTACTTGAATCCTTCATCCTCAACAATACTTATAGGCTGGTTGTCCTTACAAATCATATACATTATTGCTTGAATAAGTTTATCGGATTTTACTCCACCTTCTTTGAAACTTGTCATAACACCAAACGATTCAGCAATTGTTTTTTGCCGCTTAAATGCGCCCATAAACATTTCATTTGATACATTATTGTCCTTAGATTTTTCACTTGCACTAGGTGTACTAGGTACATCAGGGATCTTAGAAGTCGATGCCTCAGGTTCAGGATTATTCAGATTATCATTATTAGCAATAATAGCCAAAGCATTTTTGTGTTTGCTTTTTAAATGGCCGTTCAAATTAGATGTGTTGCCTAAAATCATTAAACAATATAATTTATTAGAAATAGATAAGCTGAGATAAAAAAAATAAATTAGTTACCTAATTTAAGAATGCATAAAATGATTAAATAAGCAGGAATTTAGTGTTCATTAGATTTCTTTTTATACAATAAAATTCAGATACTTTACCTGATGTTTTGATCTTTTTTTGACATATTGAACATGTTGCAGTTTTATCATTGTCTTTAGTGAAAAACTTCCACACATTGCTAGTTCTATTAGTCATTTTATTTATCTAAAACATATTTTACAATATATATTATTTTAAATACATATTATTTATAAATAATTATTATAACTAAGATTTGTATTAAACATTATAATATAACATCCCTTGTATTAAAATTTTAAATTTTAAATTAAGTGTACATTAAGTTGTATTGTTATTAATACATTCTACATTCTCCAGTGTAGGAAGTTACTTATTTCGGGTAGGTAATTAAATTACATTACTAATTCCTTATTAAAATTTTAACTAAATTATTTTTAAGTTACTTTTGTTATATGGTCAAGTTACATTACTTTTGAGTTTAAAAAGAATCTCAATTACAAAACAAGTTTCTTTTATTTCTTCAAAAATACTACTGGAGCTTAAGTTCTAAAAATGTATTTAACCAAAAAAAAGGTGGGCAAGTGGGTGTCGCTCTGCTGTACAGTAGGTTACAAGTGGGTCACTGTATAATGGATGGTATTAAATTTGAATTCAATGATATAATATCATTGTATAAGAAAAACGATTCTGAGCGGTGATGGTATGTCAGTCTATGTATAAGACATATTATATACATATCTATGGTATTAAACAAAAAATTGACCTATAATAGGTACCTATAATAAATTCCAAATTAATCATATCACAATATCCATTAGATACTTATAACACGTTATACATCAACAAAAACCGTGATACTATCATAGATATATAATAGTACACTTTAGAAGTTTCAAGTACCCACGAATAATATTATTCAATCACAACAAAATAACTAAAATAGTTATTCTAGGTTTTTAGTATGTAATTTCGTCCAAATTTGAATTTAAAATGTCTGTAAAAAATAAGTGTGTTCATATATTTTTTAGATTTTTTGGTTACAGTATGAACTATTTACGAGAACCTTTGTGTTGAATTTGCAATCCTTAGCTATAAAAACTGAACATTTTATAATTTATTAATTACAATGATTGATAATTTTCGAGATTTTGATAAATTTTGTCAAAATTTGATCTTTAAATGCTTATAAAAAAAAACTGTGCCGATGTATTTTTAATATTTTTCAACTGCTATTGTAACAATATATCAGGAGCCTTGTATTAAATTTTTACACTTTTTGGCCCAACAGATAAAACTTTATTGATATTTATAGAAAAAAAAACTAAAAAAAATTGAAAGCTGTAAATGTCCATAAACAAAAAGAGTCAAAATATTTTCAAAATTGTATGGTGTATAGAAAATGCTAATTTAAACATTGAGTGAAATTTTCATGTATTTACAGTTGTTCGTTTTTGAATTGCAACAAAATAAGAAAATCGCTACATGAGTAATCGAGTGAATATCCAATGTTGTAAAAATTTGAATTTCAAACGCTCATAAAAATTTAATTTGACTGTCCGGTAGAGATTTTTTTATTGATAAAGGTAGATAATCTTATAAGGAATCTTGTGTTTCATTTTCAAATCTTAGATTTAAAAAGAAAAATTTTTACGAATTCTTAACTCAAAATAATTTGCTAATTTTCGTGATTTTTCCATATTTTGTAAATTTTTGAACTTTAAATGCTTATAAAAAAAAATTGTGACTTAGGATTTTTAATATTTTTCATCTGCCTTTGAAAAAACATATTAGGAGCCTTCTATTACATTTTCAAGCTTTCGCAACCAACAAATAAAATTTTATTGATATTTCTAAAAAAAAAACTAAAAAAAAATGAAAAATGAAAATGTCCCTAAACAGTTCAAAATAAATCAAAATATTTTGAAAATGTTATCGTGTATAGAAAATGCAAATATAAACAACCAGTGAAAATTTCATGTATCTACGGTCATTTGTTTTAAAGTTACACCAAAAACCAAATTCGATTTTTTGGAAAACCGATTTTGCGTAAAAATTCCCGTTTTTCCTTAATTTTTATGTTGTTTTTCCCGGCGCTTGTGAAAACTACTGGTAGATGTTTACTTTTGACCCCCCATAGTACCAACTAGATTCACTTTCCTATCAGAAAAGGTACTATTGAAGAAAATCGAAGCACTTTTACTGTCCCAAAACGTGATGACAGACACAAAAAAAAATATAAAAATATAAAAATATAAAAATATAAAAACACACATCATTGTAAAACCAATACATTCATCGCTCCGCCCAGAATCTAAAAGTAACGAGTAATTTAGTAATAATTACTTAAATTACATTTAAATTATTAAATAATTAAATTACCATAAAAATACTTAAAAAGTAATTTCGTTGCAGTAACTTTTAACTTAAGATAAAATACTCCCTAACAGGCCTAACACTGCATTCTACAACATTCATTGATCATTTATAAAAATCAAGAAAAGGGCCTTAACTAGGTTTTGTGGGGCCCTGATGTGAAAAATGTTATAGGGCCCCTGTACTTGTACTCCAATACAAAGAAAAAAAAATGAGTGCACCAACTAACCTTTGGTAAACCCCAATACAACAATTAATATAATGAAATTGTGCTCATTTACTTTAAACTAACTTAATTATTTTTATTTATTTACTTACCTTTGGGACTTGGGTATTATACTTAAGTTGTTAAAATAACAAATAAGTAGTAACAAAAAAGTACTGTGTTCTCTGATGCCTGAAGAAAAAGAGAAAACTGAATAGTATTTGAAATCAGAAACAGTTCACACAGAAATCACGAATACTAAATGTCATTTAATATAAACGTATTACTGAGCGACGCACGTTGCACGAACTACGAAGTCGAGGGATAAAATGAATTATAAAATAATAAATATAAAATTACACAAAATATACTATACATATAATGAAACAATTTTTATTTCAATATTAATTGGATGTCTTACCCCACTTAATTAAATGTAATACTAGTAACTAGTGTTATATAGAATATTCTTATTTCTTATTCTTAGTTCTTACTTCTTAGTATTTCAGTAGAGACAAAAGAGTCAATAAAGATTAAAGATTAAAGGGACAATAACCTTCAGGTACCTATATAGTATATAGTATATAATTGGAACCGTACTACCCGTAGTCCGCACCCGGTTATAAGAATTCAGCGGTCTATTACAGTCATGTGTTCCAGGTATTTATTAATTCAAAAGTCATAATATTACGCATACGGGCATACGGCATAGCTAATAAGTAATAATAATATGTATTTAATATTATTTATTGAATAAATAAATTTTATTCAATAAAAGTCGGTGTCGAAATTGATATCAAATTTCCACTGCCCTTAAATAATATTTTCTGTTTTGAAAATTTAAAAATTTAAAAATTTAAATAAATACGTTTTTAAAAAAACATCGGACATCGGGATAAAAATCGGTTTTTTTCACGATACATCGACCAAAAACCATCGATGTTGACTATCGATATATCGAACCAAAACATCGATGTATTTTGCCCACCTCTACTACCTACGGGCTACAGCCTACGAAGAACGATTATAATTTATAAAGAAAATTCTTTATAATCGTGCTATGAGGTTACGAATTTACGATAATGGTTTATCGTATTAATATTATGTTCTGTGATTATACTATTCAGATGTATAGATAGGTATAATATACGTACACACATTTGACTATATGGGTAAATCCTCCGTGTATCTACAAATAGATATCAGTGGGACAGTAATACCGTGCTAGATTATGCTCATTATCAATTATTTCCAAATTATCATTCATCGTATTGTTGTAGTTTATAATCATGTTAAACCTATTAATTTATATTATTCACTTGTGAGTTGTGAACTGTGTAGTGTGCTCTGTGAAGTTGACAATTGTGCATTCAGACATTCAGTACCATTGAGATATTATTGTGGATAACGATATACCTACTGTACTGCTGTATTGCCTACCTATATATGTTTTTACGTGTGTTATTCGTACAACCGTATCATTTTTTTAGATCATTTTATTTAATAAAAAAATATGTCTAAGAGAAATATAAATAACATAAGTGACTTTTTCATTAAGTCAAAAATACAAAAAAGTTATATTAATAATATTACTGAAGATGAGTCTGAACACAAAGAACCGAAATGCTCCAGTTCGATAGATTCTAATCCTATAACCAGGTAGGTATTTAAAATTGCCTATCAATTATTTATTAAATACCTGTATGTAAATGTATCTTTAATATAATATGTTCAAGTATTTTATAGGTAACTCATTATTGACATTATATATTTTTCCATAATCCATTATAATTATATACCTACTTTATCACAAAGTAATTTTAGTTTTTATTAGGTTCCAGTTATTAATTAATTTTTTTTTTTTTAAAGAAATATTCTTAATATTGCCATTGGAAGCAATCAAGAATTGATATCTAGTGATGATGACGATTATGAAAATAACAATTTAAGTATGTTAGTGTCAATTCATTTTTGTGATATTACCTATATTAGCTATATTATATTGTAATAATAAGTATGAGATGTGCAATGTGGAATCATATATCCAACAGTTAGGTCTTGTGAAATATTGAGGGGCTTAAATGTTTTGAAGCTTTTTTTTTTAGGAGACTTAATCTTCAATTAATTTATTTTTGGGGGTGAGGCCTAAGACCCTGTAAGCCTTCCCCCCTAATCTCCACCTATGGTGTTCATGTATAATATTGTTATTATACCTTAAAATTAATAAAAATATTTTTAAAATTTTTATTTTTAAGTATAATAATAAATGATAACAGTGGCGTGCGCAGGGGGGGGGGGGGTGATGGGGGATATATCCCCCCATGCGCTTTTTTTTTTAGTCTTCAAACATTCTGGATTTTGAATTAGAGATTTCATCAAAATAATGTGTAGTTTGGAAGTTCCTATTTAAAATTTCTCATCGGAAATATTTGTTGTGATAAAATAATTGATAACTGATAATTGATAAGACACTGTGGTGATTCCGGCGCCTTATCACCACTTACGCTAGCGCGCCCTTTTTCAAATAACCATTTTTTACATTGTATTCGTTTGTGATTTATATTAAATTCTTTTTATTTATTGTCTCTGTAAAACT